GGCCCATCTCAAAGCCTTACCTGTAATGCTATTGTCTCTTGAACGTACAGCTGCAAGAAGCACACCCATTCAACAGTGAACAGTGTGTAACATGACCAAACTCTCTTCAACCATCACCTGTGAAAGAAAACTGTAGCCGAGACCTTTAAACAATGACAGTGTCCAGCACAGTATACAACCCCTCTGCCCATCCACACCACACTTACCTGAGCTACTATCCTACCTTTTCAGGGAAACTGCCCTTTCAGTTGGCTCCCCTCAGTTTCTCCTCAGCCTGTCTTCCACATAAGGTTGTAGTCCTAAGAACAAGGCCCATCTCAAATGCTTGCCTCCAATGCCTCTGCCCCTTCAATATACAGCTGCAACAAAGCACACCCGTTACACACAATTCAGTGAAACACACAGCCCAACCATCCCTGCGACCATCACCAGTAGAAGAAAACCATCTCCGAGACGCTTGGATACTTAACATACCCAGCACACAGGCTTTGCTTCCAATGCCATTGCCCCTTCAGTATATACCTGCAACAAAGCATTCCCATTGTACACAATTCACAGTGATAAACATCCCTGCAGCCATCACCAGTGAAAGAAAACCACCACAGAGCTTTGGATACTTAGCCCAGCCACCACAGCTACCCTTACCTAAACTCTATCTCACCTTTCCCAGGGGAGCTCCCCTGTGGGCTCTGTCATGATACTTACTATCCCTGCTGTGGGGACAGGCGCCGTGAGTTCCATGCAGGGAGGAGGCGGCAGAGCTTCTCAACCTGGCCAGAGAACACAGCAACACTTTCAACATGCCTGCAACATCACCCGTGAAAGAAAAGCATATCAGAGACTTGGATGCTTAGCCCAGCCAGCACAGCCAACAACCTTTCCCCCACCCCCAAAGACCAAACTTACCTGAGCTCCTAACCTACCTCTCCTAGGCAAGGGGCTTTGTTGATTGCTCCCTCCATTTCCCCTCTGAGTGCATTTGCTATAAGGCTGGAGGCTGTGAGAGGCCCAGTGCTCTTCTCAAAGCCTTGCCTCCAATGCTATTGTCCATTCTATATACAGCTGCAACAAAAGACTCGTTACTTACAATTCATCAACTCTCAGCCCATCTGCCTCTGCAACCAACACCAGTGAAAGGAAACCATCTCAGACCCTTGGATACTTACTGTACCCAGCACAATACACTATCCCTACATACCTCAATGCCACACTTACCTGAGTTCCTATCTGACCTTTCCTAGGCAAGCTGCCCTCTTGGATGCTCCTTCCATTTCCCCTCGGCTGGTGTTTAGTGTAAGGCTGGAAGCTCCAAGGAGAACCAGTTCCAAGTCTTGCCTCCATTGCTGTAGCCCCTTCAATATACAGCTGCAACAAAGCACACCAATTCCACACAATTCAGTGATAAATACACAGCCCCACCATCCCTGCAACCATTACTAGTAAAAGACAACCATCTCAGACCCTTAGATACTTATACCAAGCACAGTAGAAACCTCCGCCTCCCCCACAAAGACCCAACTTACCTGAGCTCCCATCAGACCATTCCCAAGCAACGTGCTTTGTTTGCTGTTCCCTCCATTTCCCCTCTGTCTGCATTTGGTATAATCCTGGAGGATCTAAGAAGGCGGCCCAGCTCAGAGCCTGGTCTCTAAACTTATCACCCCTTGAATGTACACCTGCAAGAGAGCACACTTGCTACACAGTTCAGTGATAAACACTCAGCCAAACAGTCCCTTCAACCAGCACCACCCCTCCCCCCAGGATACTTACCCAACCCAGGACAGCAGACAATGCTCCCTCCCTGGCAAAGGGCAACCTTACCAGAGTTGCTATCCAACCTTTCCAGTCATGCTGCCCCCTCTTGGTTGCTCCCTCCGTTTGCCTTTGGTTTAAGGCTGGTTGCTCCAACAAGGAGGAGCATCTCAGACCCTTACCTCCAATGCTATCGCCTCTTAGAGACACCTATGACAAAGCACACCCATTACACACTATTCACTATGATAAGCACATGGCCAAACAGTCCCTGCAACCATCACCAGTGAAAGAAAACCATCACACACACTTGGATACTGACAGTATCCAGCACACTATACGCCTCCGCTCCTCAACGCCACACTTACCTGAGCTCCTATGTGACCTTTCCCAGGCAAGCAGATCTCTTGGTTGCTCCCTCAATTTATCCTTGGCCCATCTTTGGGATAATGGTGTGGCTCTAAGGCGGCCTATCTCAATGCCTTACCTCCAATGCCATTGCCCCTTCGATATATACCTGCAACAAAGCACTCCCATTACACACAATTCACACTGCTGAACACTGCCAAACCATCCCTGCAACCAGCACCAGTGGGGAAAAAACACCAAACATATCCTTGGATACTTAGCCCACCGAGGACAGCACACAACCCTCCCCTCCCCCAGCCCGCCCATGGAAGACAAACTTACCAGAGTCCCTATCCGGGCTTTCCAGTGACGCTGCCCTCTTGGCTGCTCCCTCAGTTTCCCCTCACCTGCTTTTAGCATAAGGCTAGTTACTCTAAAAAGGAGACCCGGCTCAAAGCCTTATCTCCAATGCTATTGCCTCTTGAATATACACCTGTAACAAAGCATACCCATTACATACTATTCACCATGATAAACACATGACCAAATAGTCCCTGCAACCATCACCAGTGAAAGAAAATCAGATACCCTTGGATACTGACAGTACCTATCACAGTACACAACCCCTCCACGCCACACTTGAGCTGCTATCCTACCTTTCTCTCAGGCAAGCTGCTCTCGTGGTTGCTCCCTCAGTTTCTCCTTGGCGCCTCTTTCGTATAAGGCTGTAGTCCTAAGAACGAGACCCATCTCAAAGGCTTGCCTCCAATGCCATTGCCCCTTCAATATGTACCTGCAACAAAGCACTCCCATAATACACAATTCATAGTAATAAACACAGGCAAACCATTCCTGCAACCATCACCAGTGAAAAAACCACACAGACCCTTGGATACTTAGTCCAGTTACACTTACCTAAACTCTATCCGATCTTCCCCAGGCAAGCTCCCCTGTGGGCTCTCCCATGGTACTCCTGAGCTCTGCCATGAAGACAGCGGTCATGCACTCAGGGCAGGTAGCAGGAGGCGGCAGCTTCTCAACCTGGCCAGGAAACACAGCAACACTTGACATCCCTGCAGCCATCACCAGTGAAAGAAAACTGTCACAGACCCTTGGATACTTAAGCCCAGCCAGCACAGCCAACACCCTCCCTCCACCTTCAAAGGCCAAACTTACCCAAGCTCCTATCCTACCTTTCCTAGGCAAGGTGTTTTGTTCTATAGCCTCTTCAATGTATAGCTGCAATGAAACACACCCATTACCTACAATTCACTGTGATCAACACAGCCCAACCATCACCAGTAAAAGAAAACCATCTCAGACCTTTGGATGCTTAACATACCAAGCATGCAGTACACAACTCCACTTCCTGCCAAAGGCCCAACTTACCTGAGCTCCCATCAGACCATTCCCGAGCAATGTGCTTTGTTGGAGGTTGTTAGCTGCTCCCTCCGTTTCCCCTGTCTACCTTAGGTATAAGGCTGGAGAATCTTAAAAAGGAGGCCCATCTCAAAGCCTTGTCTCTAATCCAATCGCCCCTTGGCTATAAATCTGAAAGAGAACACACCTACTAAACAGTTCACAGTCATAAACACACAGCCCAACTGTCCCTTCTACCAGCACCAGTGGAAAAAAAAATCACCAAACATACCCTTGGACACTTAGCCCACCGAGGACAGCAAACAACCCTCCCCGCCCCCGGCCCGCCCATGAAAGGCACACTTACCAGAGTCCCTATCCGGGCTTTCCAGTGAAGCTGCCCTCTTGGATGCTTCCTCAGTTTCCCCTCACCTGCTTTTAGCATAAGGCTAGTTGCTCTAAAAAGGAGGCCCAGCTCAAAGCCTTATCTCCAAATCTCCAATGCTACTGCCTCTTGAATATACACCTGTAGCAAAGCACACCAATTACATACTATTCACAGTGATAAACACATGACCAAATAATCCCTGCAACCATCACCAGTGAAAGAAAACCATCACAGATAGGTACTGTCAGTATCCAAGGGTATATCAGTACACAACCCCTCCACACCACACTTACCTGAGCTGCTAGCCTACCTTTCCCAGGCAAGCTGATCTCGTGGTTGCTCCCTCAGTTTCTCCTCAGCCTGTCTTTTGTATAAGGCTGTAGTTCTAAGAACAAGGCCCATCTCAAAGGCTTGCCTCCAATGCCTCTGCCCCTTCAATATACAGCTGCAACAAAGCACACCTGTTACACACAATTCAGTGAAACACACAGCCTAACCATCCCTGCGATCATCACCAGTAGAAGAAAACCATCTCAGAGACCCTTGGATACTTAACATACCAAGCAGGTACACACCTCTGCCTCCCCCCAAAGTCCCAACTTACCTGAGCTCCCATCAGACCATTCCCGAGCAACATGCTTTGTTGGAGGCTGTTGGCTGCTCCAGCCATTTCCCCTTTGTCTGGGTTTGGTAGAAGGCTGGAGGATCTAAGGAGGCCCAGCTCAGAGCCTTGCCTCTAATCCTATTGCTCCTTGAATATACACCTGCAAGAGAGCTCACCTACTACACAGTTCACTGTGATAAACATCGACAAACCACCCCTTCAACCAGCACCAGTGAAAGAAAGCCACCACACACCCCTGGAATATTTAGCCAACCGAGGACAGCAGACAATCCCTCCCCCCATAAAGGGCAACCTTACCAGAGTTCCTATCCGGCCTTTCCAGTCAAGCTGCCCTCTTGGGTGCTCCCTCAGTTTATCTTCAGCCTGTCTTTGGTATCAGGGTGTGGCTCTAAGAAGGCGGCCCAGCTCAAAGCCTTATCTCCAATGCCATTGCCCCTTCAATATACTCCTGTAACAAAGCACTCCCATGACACACAATTCACACTGCTCAACACACTGCCGAACAGCCACTGCAACCAGCACCAGTGAAAGAAACCCCTCACACAGAGCCTCAGGTACTTAGCCCAGCCAGCACGGGACACAGCATCCCCCCCCAAGGGCGCACTCACCGAAACTCCACCCGACTTTTCCCAGGAGAGCTCCCCTGCGGTACTGCAGGGGGGTGTCGGGCCGGGAGCAGGAGGCAGCGGCGTCATCTCCTCAGCCTGGCCGGGAAACAGGGCCTCGCTCTCTACGCACGCTGGAAAAGACGAGGAGCTGGAGCGAAGCTGCCCGATGAGGCAGC